ATGTCCACCTGATGGACATAACCTTGGAAATTGGAGATCAGTTAGGTATAAAGAAGGGGAAGAGCATTTCAGGTGCAAAGAACAGCATGGGTGGAGGCTTGGTGCAAAGAGGAAACATGGTAAATTTGAAGAACTGAAAGAAAGTCTAGTAGGATCACACACTTCTGGAAAAACTGTGGTTCAAAATGAGGCAGCAAAGCAGAGGTGTGGCTTGTGGCGTCCCGTTCCCAGCATCACAAAGCTAAGAGACAATAGCTTAATAACCCGCACAGCCCATCCACGCTCTTCTGCAATTTAACAGCTATTTAAACATCCAGGCAACAAAAACATCCCCCGTTGTTTGATTGAAGGTCCTCTCCCCAGAATAATGAGCCACAAGGTCTCCAGCCTTCCACGGTGTCCCCTCCTCCCACTCCTGAGACTTTCTGGAGCTCTGTGGTGAGAACTGATCTCCTTCACAGTGGCATCCCCTCTACAGGGGTTTGGGGTTTGCTTCCTCACTCTATCAGCGGTTCCTTTGACAACAATGTTGACATCTCCCGTCTTCCGTTGGCCTCTCTCCTCTCCTAGGTTTTATTTGCCCTTCTAGGTTTGTGCCTCTTTGCTCCACTTCTATCATTCCAGTGAGTGTGGGGAAAAGGAAGGCTGAGAAATGAATTTATCTCATCGCAGATGCTGTTAATGCCCCACCCCGTATTCTCTTGGCCTATCTCTGAGTTCAACTGTAGTCCTGGGGACCGATCCCCACATACACGGCGAGACGCTGTGTCTCTCTCCTCTACCGGAGTTTCCTCTGAGGCCCAGACACCTGTTCAGCCTAAGTGCAGGCAGCCTAGAAGTGCCCCCGATGAGCACAGCCCTCAGCCCATGAAGGTGAGTCTCTGATTCATGTTCCACCTCCCTTTCCTGAAAAGATGGCCCTGCAGCGCCCAGCAGGATGGAACCGCATTTGCCCACCATGGTAGTCTGGTCATTAGTATGCGCTACCGACTTCATCCTTTTCTGTTTTACCATGCCCACTTCCTTCGCTTGTGCCCATAGACTGATGGCCATATCAGGTCCCTGCATCCAAGTCTTTTTCTCAGAGTCTGCTTCTGGGGGACCCGATCTGAAACTGTATGATACAAATACACTGTATTTACTGTATTATACAAATGTACCAAATTACTATCTACTGTATTCTACACATTTATTCTTTATGTCCACTCATTTATTGAGAAACTACCACCTCTTAGACACTGTGAAATTTAACTGGTACCTTGTATCATTAGTTATTTCTATGTGTTTATCGTCCATATACTTTTGTATGTATACACATATATGTATATGCAATTATGTATATACATTCCTTCATTCTTTCTCTCTACCTACCTATCTGCTTATATAAAATCCACGCTTGATCTTAACATCATTGCCAGTGTCAATGTCCACTTATGTGTCTGCAGAGTTAAATATCAGTCCAGTGCAAATAGATGTTCAACAAGTGTTTCTTGAGTAATCTTTCTTATTTTTAGACTTCACATCCACTGTACATTATTATACACAAAATCCGCATATAACATTTATATTAGATAATTTATAAAGTATCCAACTTAACACATCTTTGCAGACCTCCTACCTGCAAAAGCATGGTTGAAGCTCTAAAGTCAGAATGGAGGAAGTTAATACGATGTGTGATAGGCTCTATACAGCATATTATTAGGTGAAAGAAATGAGTTTACAGAAACTAATATTATTCAGAGAAGGGAATGATTAGGTAGACATGATTGGAAATAGTTTCCAGAAGTAGTCGAGATAGGCCTTGAGGAGTTGATAGGATTTAAATAGATAGAGAAGCGGACGATGGGCCAGTATTGGAATGCAGGGTGAGAAATCGATGGTCATAAAAGTAAAGAAACTGAGGAGCACCTGGGGTGGCTCAGTCGGTTAAATGTCCAACTTCGGCTCAGGTCATGATCTCACATCGGGCTCTGTGCTGACAGCTAGCTCAGAGCCTGGAGCCTGCTTCGGATTCTGTGTCTCCCTCTCTCTGCTCCTTCCCAGCTCGCACTGCTTCTCTCTGTCTCTCAAAGATACATAAACATTTTAAAAATTATAAAAAACAGAAAAGGAAAAATAATAAAAATAAATAAATAAAAGAAGTAGTGGAGGGCCCTTAAAACCCAAGGACTTAAGACTCTGTCAACTGAAAAAGAAGGAGTTTTTGAAGGGTTTGTGAATATTAATTATAAATAAAGTCGTGGTTGGGCTGAGGAGGGTTCATTTGGCAGGTTGCAAAGGAAGAAGCGTAGAGCAAGGTGGTGGGGGGGGAGGGCCCAGTACAAATTACTTTCTAGACTCTACAGGCCTCTTCTGCCTTCTAGGTAAGTAAACTTTTTCCTCTGTCGTCTACTGTACTGTGCATTTAAAATCATTACTTTTGATGGGGGTGCCTGAGAATCTGAAGCAGGCTCTAGGCTCTGAGCTGTCAGCACAGAGCCCTACGTGAGGCTCGAACCCACGAACCATGACCTGAGCTGAAGTTGGATGATTACCCGACTGAGCCACTCAGGTGCCTCATTCATTGTCATTCTGAATTATCTTACTTTACGTACTGCTAAGTTTTAAGATGGTTCTGTTACTATAGAAAAATGTCTTCCCCCTCATTTTTCTCAGACGTAAAATGGAAGCCAATGGAAAAATATTTGACCAAAACTCACTCTTAAGGAATGCGTTTATATAAACATGGTGATGTATACATGTACTTGGCAATACTGTAAATCTCGCATTCTATCAGAAATATATTAGTATTAAAATTTTTTTTAATGTTTTATTTATTTCTGAGAGAGAGAGAGACAGTGTGAGTAGGGGTGGGTCAGAGAGAGAAGGAATCTGAAACAGACTCCGGGCTCTGAGCTGGCTGTCAGCACAGAGCCTGACGTGGGGCTCAAACCCATGAACCGTGAGATCATGACCTGAGCCGGAGTCGGACATTCAACCGACTGAGCCAACCAGGCGCCCTCAGAAATATATTAGTATTTTTAACAGAAACCTTGGTCTCTTCAGGGCCCTGTTTTCAGGGAGGGGCTATACTGGTGAGAAATGAGGTGAATAGTAAGGATGACTCGCGCGGCTCCTAACAGGGTGTGGTAAGAAAGACGGTAACAGGAGAGGGCAGGGAAAGAAAAGAAAAGGTTCAGGGCAAGAGAACATGATACTTGAATTCGTTTGAAAAGATGAAACAGCTTAGAGATGAGAGGGTTGGAAAGAAATGGAATTCCCAATGGAGGTAGCGAAGTATGTTTCCTGAATTGTCTAAATGCTACAGTGTCCCAGCAGCCTTTTACCCAGGCTGGTCTCCAACTGTGGATGAAAATGGAAAGATGGGTTTTTAGAGTCAAAGAAAATTTGTTCTTCTTTAATGACTCAGAGCCTGATGATGATGGCATATAAATGTGCACAGTGAGGTACGTTGTGGTGTGTTTGGCGATATATAAACACTTGATAGTGAATTACACAATTCCTGTATCGTCTTCTCTTCTGGGAGCTTCAAAGGATAGAATCTGCCTTTTGCCCACTTTCATCTCGTGATGCCTCTAACTTCATCAAGTCTATCTGTTAAAATACTTTTCTTTCTTTCCATGTCCAACCTCAGGTAAAACTACTTAAGAGCAAGTCCTGGCCGGGAGTGTTGGCAATAGTTTGCATCTGGACCGGGCTCAGAGATTCAGTAGATCTTCCTATATCAGACCCACCTCAAATATCAGTCCTTTCAATTCATTCTATTTTGTAATAAATATTATTTGTCCGTTATATTCCAGGTACTTTGTTATATTCTACTTACCGTGGCGATAGTAATAAATGAAATGGATAAAGATTCCGACCTGATGGAACTTACATTTTGGAAATCATCACAACGGCTCTGAAAGATTGCTTCTTTCCTCCCACGTAGACGAAGGATTTATTAAAATTAGGCTGCTACCTAAAGTAGGGTTTTTCTTTCATGGGCTTTGTATAGACACCAGGACAAGAAGACATTATTTTTATTACAGGGGAAAACGACTTTTTTTTTGGTAGCGGGGGTTCTATAGGGACAGACCAGTATGACTTGGCGTATTTTCTCTAGTTTATCTTGTAAAAGATGAATGTTTGAAGATTCTAAAAATATAGTGGTTTCAGAGACAGATAAGTGGGTGAAGAGAAAAATATTTAAAGACAAGTTATTTGAAGCTTTCCTTTCCTTGTGCTTCAGGGAGGAGAGAGAGAGAAGCAGCCACCAAATGACTAATGCATCAGTAATAGCTGGTTTATACTTTATATAGGCAGAAGAGAAATATAGTAAGAAAGGAGAAACAACTAAATAGAGAATACTGTTATGGCATTAAAAACTCTGATTTGGGAGCGCCTGGGTGGCTCAGTCGGTTGAGCAGCCAACTCTTGATTTGGGCTCAGATCATGATCCCAAGGATAGAGATCAAGCCCCAGGTCAGGCAAACGTGGAGCCTGCTTAAGATTCTCTCTCTCTCTCTCTCTCTCTCTCTCTCTCCAGCTTGCACTCTCGCTCTCTCAAATTAAAAAAAAATCCATTATTAAAATTGCAGTGGATCTGGGGGTGCCTGGCAGGCTCCGCGGCTCTTGATCTCAGGGTCATGGGCTCAAGCCCCACGTGTGGTATACAGTTTACTTCCAAAGAATAAAAATAAAAAATAGGTGCGCCTGGGTGGCTTAGTCGGTTAAGCGTCCGACTTTCGCTTAGGTCATGATCTCGCGGTTCGTGGGTTCAAGCCCTGTGTCGGGCTCTGTGCTGACTGCCAGCTCAGAGCCTGGAGCCTGTTTCAGTCTGTGACTCCGTCTCTCTCTGACCCTCCCCTGCTCACGCTGTCTCTCTCTCTCTGTCTCCTAGAAATAAATAAAACATTAAAAATTTTAAAAAATAATAATAAATAAAAAAATAAGTAAAATTGCAACGGATTTGAAACAGTTGTATTTTTTGATCACAGTTCTTATTTGTTATTTTACAGATGCTATGCCTACTCCCTCAGAAGAAAGCCCATCTCTGCAGTCAAATGTGAGTTTGGACAAGAAATCAGACTGTACCGTCACAAATACCATAACCGAAAGCCCTTTGCAAATCCCTCTGGAGAAGCAGTCAGCTGCAAAAAGTTTTGAAACATTGACAACTTTACCATCACTTTGGTCATCGAATACAGAAGAGTTTATCAACCCTAATTTAAGGATGTCCAAGTCCGATTCCACGTTCTACAACCAGACTTCTGTGGAGACACTCTATGTCTCTCCTTCATTCAAAACATTCGACCCAAGGAAGGATCATCTGAAGCCAGCACAGTCCAGCATTTTGCAGATGGATGAGGAAAACCTCAAGACTGTGACCACGTGGGGTGAGTCTGCATGCATGCGTGTGCGCATGCACACGCGCGTACACACACACACACACACACACATAGAGCTCTTCTGAAGTGCTCTTCTGTTACTTTTTTCTGTGCTTTCTGTCTCTGTGTTTGGTTCCCTTCTTTCACTCTCCATCCAGTGGTAAAATATACAAGCCAGAGAGAGGGACTTCTCAGTTGGGAAGGCAGCCTTTTTATTAAAGAGCTGAAAGGCAGTTTATCAACGTGGGGCACAAATACTTGTTGAAGCATGAGTTCTGAGCAGTTCTGATTCTGAGTAAACGAGAATGAAGTCGCATTAAATAAGAGCTTCCTGTTAGGCATTTAGGTTACCTGTGAAGAGACTATATGAAAACAAATGTTATTATGTATATTGGTGTATAGACACACGATATATGCGTGTGTGCGTGCATGGCCTTTTTTTAAAGGGTTGTGTACTGATTGCCAAGAAAGGGTGGAGAATCTCTTCCTTATTCTGTCCTATAAAACACTGAAAGGGTTGCAGTATTCTTGAGAAGCCAGTTGGGAAGCTAGGCTGTTGGCTGTCAGGTACCAAGTCCTACATCATACAATTATGTTTTCTTCTTTAAAGTTAATTAGTAAAAGAATAAGTTGTTTGCTTGTGCACTTTTCAAAGACTTAGTCGTTTTATGGGTTCTTATGTATAATAAGGCTTACTAACTCACCTAAATTTAAAGCTTTTAATATAAATATTCTACACTGCCTCAATCTCAGGTCAAAAGTACAAGCAATGGAAGCCAACATGTTGAAGCTAAAGAAACTTACTTCGGGGACACCTGGGTGGCTCAGTCGGATAAGAATCCGACTTCGGCTCAGGTCATGATCTCACAGTTTGTGGGTTCGAGCCCTGCATTGGGCTCTGTGCTGACAGCCAGCTCAGAGCCTGGAGCCTGTTTCAGATTCTGTATCTCCCTCTCTCTCTGACCCTCCCCTGCTTGCTCATGTGCTCTCTCTCTCTCAGAAATAAATAAAATATAAAATTAAAGAAAAGTATAATTTGAATAGTTCAAAACATTTGACATGCAAGCAAGTATATCAAACAGTTTTTACACAAATGAGTATACTATTAAACATAACTTTCTTCACTTGTTTCTGAACTTCTCTCTCTATATATATATTTTGGAAAATGTTTTTATCAGAGAGCCTAGCCTCTCTTATTAATGCTACCTGCTTTTCTATTTAATAGATTTGTCACAATTTGTCTAGCTAGTCTTCAATTATGGTGAACATTTAATTATTTCTATTGTTTTGCTTTCACAAACCATGCTATTCTGAAATTATATCTCTAAGACCTGCTATGCTATCTGTTGATTGCTTTTGGCTCCTAACACCTGACCTGCTCCATATAGAACTAGGATCTGTGGCCTATAGAAGAAGTGGCTAGAACACGCCCCCATAAAAATAGCTGCAACTGAGTGTGTCCGAAAGTGAGATGCTGCAGAGGAAGGGGGATGCTGCCTTTGCTCCATTCCCCATAGCGCCTACCTTTTCCTGCATGCGGAAAACATCTACTGTTTTCACTCCAAGTTCACTGACACAATTTGGAAATAATTTTATACTACCAGAATATATAAAATATATCCTAAA